TATACAACCTTTGCCAGACCTATACTTGAATACTGTTCACCTGCCTGGAATCCTCACTGTATTTCAGACATCAATACATTAGAGAGGGTCCAGAGGCATTTTACTAGAAGAGTACTCAAATCTTCTGCTTGAAATAAAATTCTCTATACCACCAGGCTTGATATTTTAGGTCTGGATAGTCTCGAACTTCACCGTCTATGTTCCAACCTATGCTTAGTTCATAAGCTTATTTACCAAAAAGTCCTACCTGTAAATGAGTACTTTAATTTCAACCGTAATTACCCAAGGGCTATCAACAGATTCAAACTCAATGTAATTTGCTCTAATCTTGATTGTAGGAAATATGACTTTTGCAATAGAGGAGTAAATGTCTGGAACAATTTACTTTTTTTTTTTTTTTTTAAATTTGATTTATATGCCGCCCTTCTCCGGAGACTCAGGGCGGCTTACAGTGCGTTAAGCAATAGCCTTCATCCTTTTGTACTTGATCCTGTTGTTAGTCTCTCTAATCCCCATATCTTTTACCTTAAACTGTCTACCGTGGACCTTTCATGTTTCTTAAGAGGTCCATAAGGGGGCGTGCATAAGCGCACCAGCGTGCCTACCGTCCCTGTCCTACTGTTCCCATTTATATGTAATCATTCTATGTGTTTATGGCTATGTTTTGCCTATTTATATCCTTTTATTTGTGCCAATTTTTTTCATGTGTCCATGTCTATGTCTATACTGTTACTTGTTTCCTTGTACTTGTTGATAAATAGATAGATGATAGATAGATAGATAGATAGATAGATAGATTCCATGATCAAATTATTTTTACTGTCACAAAGTTTTTTTCCAACGTTTCATGAGAATTTGCCTCCCTGTATCTCAAACACATTACAGCTAGTCTTCGCTTAGTGATGGCTTGTTTAGAAACCATTTGCAGTTATGAATGGTGATGAAAAAATAACTTTGCAGTCAGTCCTTGCCTTTATATCCTTTGTTGAAGACAGACCATAAATATAGCAATAGCACTTAGACTTGTATAGTGCTTTACAGTATAGTGCTGTACAGCCCTCTCTAAATAGTATACAGAGTCAGCATATTGCCCCTAACAATCTGGGTCCTCATTTTACCGACCCTGGAAGGATGAGTCAACCTTCAGCCAGTCAAGATCGAACTCTTGGCTGTGAGCAGAGTTAGCCTGCAATACTGCATTCTACCCACTTAGCCACCATCGTTCTTATACATTCACAGTTTTACTTAAGGATTGCTTTGCTTAATGACCAAGTACCATATTTTTTGGAGTATAAGAAGCTCCAGACTATAAGACGCACTTACCTTTTTTGGGGAGAAAAACAAGAAAAAAAACTGCCTCTGCCTCCCAGCAATTTGTCTCCTTGCAGCAAACAGCAAACAGCAAACAGCCTCTTTCATTTTCATTTTCAGCACAGTCTGATTAGCACAAGAAAAAAAAAATCTGCCTCTGCCTCCCACCTATTTGCCTCCTGCAGCAAACAGCCCGTTTCAGCTTCAGTACAGCCTGATTAGCACAAGCAGGTGATTGTTGGTTGGACCGGCCTCCCGAAGATCAGCTGTTTCAGGCTGCAGGGATTGCCATAGCCTATTGCCGCTTCTGTGCATCCCATTTTCCGGGGGGGCAAGTGAGTGGGCGGGCTACATTCAGTATATAAGACGTACCCAAATTTTCACCCTCTTTTAGGGGGGGAAATAGTATGTTTTATAATCCGAAAAATACGGTAGCTGGTCTCAATTGTGGTCACTAAATGAGAGCCACCTGTATTCAAAACCTAGTGAATTGAATGAAATTTAGCTGCTTTATTTATATACTTCCGTGGAAGTAACTTTAACATCAATAACTTGAGCAGTGCCTTAAACATTGCCTTCTGTTTCCTTCCTGACATGGGCTTATACACTCCACAAAGCTGGAATCAGTGATAGAAACATATGGATAAGAGATGTCTGATCACACATTTGGATTTTATTTTATTCTACATGTGATTATTCAAAACAGTTAACTGAAAAATAAGTAGACACGAAAATGGGTGAACATTTCTCGATAACAGCTTAACCAGGAAATGAAAGCTATCTTTGAAATCTTCAATTAAGAATGAACAATGCAGGATTTTAGTAGGTGTGCTGCAAAGCTATTATCCCCAAACAGTCAATTATTTCCCATGACAAGCCCTCTATTCAACTGAGCACATTCTGTATTTAAGCAACAAACATTATTCGTACCAGCTTGCTGATCGCTGCAGCTGAAAACAAAAAGTAGCAATTCAAGCACAATTTTTAAAATGTCAATTTCTGCAATTTTTTTCGCAGAATATTTTCCCAAGAATAGAATGGGATGCTCTTGAATAAGTATCAAGTCTATCATAGCATCCTATAGACTGTAAACTCTTTCTGCAAATAAATGATCACAATTCTAACTTTAAAAGGTGCCATGATTGTTTAATCGGTCTAAAAGTGGTTAATAGTCTTTCACATTCAGAGGCACATTCGGTTTCAGTTCATATGAAACTTCCAGTCTGCAGCTGTATTTGCTAGTATCTTAACAAAACATTTTGGATTGGTTGGATTCACCAACCAATCCAAAACCCACATCTCATCAATTTCAACAGATCTACCCCAGGAATGACTAAATATGGCTTTAATCAGGTCAAAAGACTATGATGTTATGAAATTAAACTCATTGGGAATTACTGCAGAAAAAACGATTACTACCAACCTGCTTTCCATTGAGGACCTGTATATTGCATAGCCAAAAAGAGGGCTGGGAAAATATTTACTTCGGGTAATCCAGTATCTTACAGACCCCTCACATCCTGGACATAAACTGTTTCAACTCCTACCCTCAAAACAATGCTATAGAGCACTGCACACCAGAACCACTAGACGCAAGAACAGTTTTTCCCTGAACGCCATCACTCTGCTAAACAAATAATTCCCTCAACTCTGTCAAACTATTCACTAAGTCTGCACTACTATTAATCTTCTCATCGTTCCTATCACCCATCTCCTCCCACTTATGACTGTATGACTGTAACCTTGTTGCTGGTATCCTTAAGATTTATATTGACTTGTTTCCCTATGACTATCATTAAGTGTTGTACCTTATGATTCTTGACGAATGTATCTTTTCTTTTATGTACACCCAGAGCGTATGCACCAAGACAAATTCCTTGTCCAATCACACTTGGCCAATAAAGAATTCTGTTCTGTTCTGTTCTGTTCTGTTCTGTTCTGTTCTGTTGTTCTGTTCTGTTCTGTTCTGTTCTGTTCTGTTCTATTCTATTCTATTCTATTCTATTCTATTCTATTCTATTCTATTCTATTCTATTCTGAAGATATACACAGAATTGTGCTGCAAATGATAAAGTGGTCGGATAATTACTTAATACATATGCATTGCACAGTATTGTGTTTTTCCCACTAGTTTTGTCATCAGAGATCTTCTGATGTTAATTTATAGTGAAGACATTTGTCTGAATTCTGTCTGACAATTCATAGGGTTCACCTCATCAGAAACTATCCATATTAATCAGTTGAGTTCAGACACTCACCCAATGAAACAAAAAGTGTGTTTACTGCTTGCAAAAAAGCAACAAGAGTGCTACATGTATTGCAGGTGGGAGGATATCTTATAGAACAGTCAGAATGATACTTCATCCATGTCCCATGTCCTTTTTTGAGGAATACAGGATATGGACTGTCTGTAGGACCTCTCAAGATGTTTGGACTGGATAGCCAGAATTAACCTCTGTAAGGCAGTGCCTGATGTAACCTGGTAGCATTCCATTATGGATCTTAATGATCAGCATTCCAAATTTCACCCAGAAGCTTGTGATAACCTCAAAGTTGGTTTTATCCGATATTGGTTGGATTTCATCAGTTTATCTGGCCACTATTCTGGACCATTTGTAGTTGTCAAATAATCTTCAAAGGATATTGACATGGAGCACATGAGTCTAAATACCTGGAGACTGAGTTATGAATTACAGACACCAAGGCTGTAATCTGGGTTCAGGTAGGGTGGCCTAGCAGCTAAAGTTGAGCAAAGATCCCTTGACCATCACTTTCTTTTGCTGTTGTGATACCAAGAGGTATTATATATTAAGGTAACGGTTCCCCTCACACATGTGCTAGTCGTTCCTGACTCTAGGGGGCAGTGCTCATCTCTGTTTCAAAGCCGAAGAGCCAGCACTGTCCAAAGATGTCTCCATGGTCATGTGGCCGGCATAACTAAACGCCAAAGGTGCACAGAATGCTGTTACCTTCCCACCAAAGGTGGTCCCTATTTCTCTACTTGCATTTTTTACGTACTTTCGAACGGCTAGGTTGGCAAAAGCTGGGACAAGTAACAGGAGCTCACCCTGTTACGCAGCACTATGGATTCGAACCACTGAATTGCTGACCTTTCGATTGACAAGCTCAGCATCTTAGTTGCTGAACCACCTCCTCTCTTTATATATTACCACCCCCATAAATGCCATAAAAAGCCTGAAGTGGTGTAGGAGAGTTGTTAGAATCTAGATGAGATGAAAGAAGCTCAAACTAAATCTTACCAAGGCCAGTTTGTTTTTTTATCAATGAACAATCAATGATCGGTAATCAACAGCATTTAAACCTTACCTTGTATTAAGAATAGATTTCAAGCATTGCCTTTTTGCTACCCAGTTTCTGCTTTTAAAAAACATCATCGTTCATGCTTCATGAACGTGCATGCATGCTTCATTCTGTATGTCATTTCCAAGTAGATCTTTGTTTAAAAAGAATACTTTAAACAAAGTACGAAGAACACCAAAGTACACCATGAAAGCCAAAGGCTCTTTCTAAATGATAAAGATCCACAAGATTACAAATTACGTATACATGCAGACTCTCTATTTGATTTGCTGTAAATGAATTTTATGGCTATAGTTCAATAAAGTTTATCTTGCAAGGAGAAAAAAAAATACATTTTTTTCAAAAAATAAAAATTAAGTATTTCTTACCTGGCTTTATGAGGTTTGTCTTTGCTTCCTTTTTATATCGTGCCGGCTGATGAGTTCCATCTGCCACTGTTCCTGAATTAAATTTCTTTCTGGCATAGTCTCCCCCATCACTGCCTGTACAGAAAGTGATTGGACTGTTTCCCGTATCTGGTGGAGTCTTAACTGGAGATACTGATTGGCTACTGGGGCAACCTGTGTCATCTGAAAACAAGAGAGGGGCAAAAGTTACTTGCTGGGTATCTCTCTCTTCCTTCTCCTCCACTCTCCCAGCTTCACTCTGTAAAGGCATTCTGTAAAGCAATGAAGCATGCAGCTCTGGCTGAAGTTGAATGCCTTTTTCTTTTCAGTGGAACATTGCTGTGTCACCATCTGATAAGCATCTTTTTAATCCCCAGAGCAGTAGCTTCTAGTTCACCCATGTTTGAACTATGCTTTCCAACACAGAGGGACAAAAAAAATGAAGTTCCTGTCAGCAGTGAATGTCAGGCAAAAGGGGTTCATTTCCCATCTCACTCATTCAAAACAGGGTGTCAGGGTTCCGATGGATGCGCTAATTAAATCATGAGCCTCGAGCCAAACTTCAAAAGAAATCCAGTTTTTTTGTTAGGAGCTTCATGTCGGCATGTCCCCCATTGAAGCCAGCTCTGACTCTATATAATTTACAATCCCAATCATGACCCTGTTTCTCTCTCCCCCCGCCCAAAGTGTGTCATTAGTTACATTCCCCAATGGAGAAATTTCGTGGGTTGTAGAAATCACTCCCCTCCGACAGCTGTGAGTAACCCTGGGATACAGCCTTGAGAGAGATAAGTGTAGAATGTGCATCTGTCTTTGGCTGCCATCCCGTTACATTGGTTTCCTATCCCCCTTGCTTATGGCAACTCGAGAGTAGGCCAGGGATGCTTTGTGAGTTGACACGGGGATGGAGATAGGAAAGGGAAATAGGTGTCTAGGTTCATGCCATCCAAGGACTTCTCAAAGTCCTTGGATGGCATCTTCGAGACTGCCTGCTGCTACCGACAGCCTCCCATCGACCTGTGCGCTCCCACAGAGAGGGCCTCCTCGAGGTGCCATCAGCCAAACAATGTAGGCTGGTGACCCCCAGGGGGAGGGCCTTCTCTGTGGGGGCACCTACCCTCTGGAATCAGCTGCCCCCAGAGATAAGGAGAATCCAAGACCTTGGTGCCTTCCGCCGTGCCCTTAAAACCTTCTTTTTCCAGCAAGCCGGGCTGGCCTAACACTTTTTTTAAATGTTTTTAATTGTTTGTTATTGTTTTTAATCATGGGGCCAAATTTATATGTATCTTTTTAATTGTATTTTAATGTTTGTAATTTATGTTTTTACTTGGCTGTTCACCGCCCTGAGTCCTCAGGGAGAAGGGCGGTATACAAATTTATAAATTTATAAATTTATAAATAAATAAATAAATAAATAAATAAATAAATAAATAAATAAATAAAGAAAGAAAGAAAGAAAGAAAGAAAGAAAGAAAGAAAGAAAGAAACCAGTTCCTGGCTTCATGCACTGTGTACAACCAACGATGTGGGAAAACACACAGGGAATGCCACAAAAACAAGCTGAAAGTTTAAAAAGCCTTGCAAGATCTAATGACCACGGATACGGTTGCTGACAGTATGGCCAAACTGAGTAATAAATTAGAACTCTTTATTGGCCAAGTGTGATTGGACACACAAGGAATTTGTCTCCAGTCCAGTGCATAAGCTCTCAGTAGACATACAAGCAATAAGTGTTAAATCACGATCATAGTCATCGTAATGGAGCAGGTGTTACACACAAAGTACTACAGATAGTCCTCGACTTATAACCATTTGTTTAGTGACCGCTCAAAGTTACAACAGCACTAAAAAAGTTATTTATCACCATTTTTCACACTTAACAAATGTTGCAGCATCCCCATGGTCACCTGATCAAAATTCAACTGACTTGGCAACTTGCCGTGTCCAAGAGTCACGTGATCATCTTCTGCAACTTTCTGACTAGCATCTGAATTTTGATGCTTATCAGTGGAGAAACCAGATTCCCTTAACAACCATATTACAAACTTAACAACTGCAGTGACTCACTTAACAGTTGTGGAAAGGAAGGTCATAAAATGGGGCAAAGTCCACTTAACACTGTCTTGCTTAGCAACAGAAATTTTGACCTCAACTGTGGTCATAAATCGAGGACTCCTTGTACATTAGCAAAGGAAGAATATCTGAAGCCTACAAACCAGTGATGGGTTGCCCCCGGTTCTATAGAACTGGTAGTAAAACTGGCGGGAGGCTCCGCCCACTGATCCCGACATCATCAAAATGCTTCTACGCATGTGTGGGTGGCCCTGTTGCGAACCGGTAGTAAAGGTAAGTAGAACCCACGCCTGCTACAAGCATATTTTCCATGTTTCTCTTTCAGAGAAGAAAAGTCTGCCTTTATCCCACGAGGGGAGAGCAGGTGGTTTTCAAAAGATCTAAAGCAACCAAGACGGAAGCTATTTTTGATTGCATACACAAACTTGCCTGGCAAAATTCTAGTCAAAGTAAACAGAGAAGGGATTGGTCAAACATCAATTTTAAAACAACAACAAATGATCCGAAACCAAAGAAACAGGAGAGGTAAATTGAGCAAACATGAATGTCTTCTATCAATGCTAAGCATGTACAGCTTGTTTCTCATGTACAAGAGTGGCTAACCTTGGCCTCTCAGAAAGTGCTAATAATAATAATAAGAAGAAAGCAGAATATAAGAAAGAAGTAATTGAGCAGCGAGCTGAAAATTGGAAACACAAAGCTCTGCATGGCCAATACTTGAAAAGTATTGAAGGCAAAGCTGACCAGAAACTAACTTGGAACTGGTTAAGATTAGGAGTACTGAAAAAAGAAACAGAAAGCTTTATTTTGGCAGCTCAAGAACAAGCCCTAGCCACAAACTGTATGAAGGCAAAAATTCAACATGTTACCACCAACAGCAAATGCCGCCTCTGCAATGAAAAAGAAGAGACAGTTGACCACCTGATCAGTGGGTGCAGCAAAATTTCACAAACTGACTACCTACAACGCCATGACCGTGTTGCTAAAATCATTCACTGGAAATTGTGCCAGAAGTTTGGATTTGAGTACAGCAAAAACCACTGGGAACATCAGGTTGAGAAAGTTTTAGAGAATGAGAAACTCAAGATCTTGTGGGACTTTAGGATACAGACTGACAGGCACTTGGTCCACAACACACCTGACATAACAATAGTTGAAAAGAAAAAAGTATGGTTCATTGACATTGCAATACCTGGTGATGCACGAATTGAAGATAAGCAGCAAGAAAAAATCACAAAGTACCGGGACTTACAAATTGAAGCTGAGCGACTGTGGAAAAAGAAATCGTGTGTTGTCCCGATTGTAATTGGAGCCCTCGGAGCAATACCCAAAGGGCTACCCCGCTATTTAGAAATTCTAAATTTGCCGGACTTGAACATTTTGACTCTACAAAAAACCACCTTACTTGGAACAGCTTACATCCTCCGACGATACCTTAACAGTTCCTAGGTCCTTGGTTAGGACTCGAGCTGCTGAGCTATTAACCAGCCTCAAAGGCTGTGAATCTCACTAAAGATTAACCAATAAATAATAATAATAATAATAATAATAATAATAATAATAATAATAATAATAATAATAATAATAATTTTATTTCTATACCGCCCTTCTCCCGAAGGACTCAGGGCGGTGTACAGCCAATTTAGAAACACAAGACAAAACAATGATTAAAAATTAAAATGATTAAATAGATTTGGCCCGGTTTAAAACCCCAAAAATTTAAAATACCCCAATTTAAAATTATTATGTTGAAAGCCCGGCCTAGCGGAACAACAGGGTCTTCAGTGCGCAGCGAAATACCCGGAGGTCGGAGATCTTACGTATTTCTGGGGGCAGTTCATTCCACAGGGCTGGCGCTCCCACAGAGAAGGCCCTCTGGGCCCTCCCATCACATCGTCGTGACATTCCACACATGCGATCCCAGCAGAAGTGGTATTCAGCCAGTTCAGACCGGTTCAGGCGAACTGGTAGCGCAAATCGCGGGTGGTCCTGCCCCGCCCCGCCCCGCCCCGCCCCAGCTCTATGCCGTCCTATTTAGGCATGTTTTTGAGGCCGGGCGCATGTGCGAAAGGCAGGCGCATGGGGCGAACTGATAGCAACAAAATGTGAAACTGTTGTGGCCCATCAGCGGCCTGTGCGGATTGTAGCTGATTCTGACAGTGAGAAGGCTGGTGTGGTGTTGCGCCAGCAGCCTGTGCAGCTGGCACTTGAGTCAGACAATGAGGAGGCTGGAGAAGATGTGGTGCCAGAGGCAGGGATTCAGCCAGGGCCTTCAGAACCTCCAGAAGCTCCTTTAAGTGAAGAGGACGAAGAGGAAGAGCCTCTTCTCGATGCACGGGTGCGCAGAGTGGCCAAAAGGCAGGAGTGGCTCCTCAGGAGGAGGTCTCCTCGAGAGTAAGGCTTGGGGCTAATTGGCCACTCCCTTAGCCTATTTAAGGAGGAATGCCGACTGAAGCAATTTGTAGGGAACAATTTTAGTTCACTCTACTTCGCGTCTGGATTCTCTGCAAATTGCTTCTGGGCTTTCTGCCAGCCTTAGTAAGATTGTGATTACTTTATCTTTGGTTTCTTGTAGGCTGTTAAGAAAGTTTATTAACAGCCTTTGTTTTGAAAAAGACTGAGTTATTTTAGTAAATTAAGTTTTGTACAAACTTTGTGTGTGCTGTGTTCTTTGGGATCCGTAACTGGGGCAGAACAGAAACCCACCGCTGGATCCCAGGTCCTCTATGCCAACAGCCCCCAACTTTTTTGGTACCAGGGACTGGTTCTGTGGAGAGGTTTTTCCATGGACTGGAGGGGGCATGGTTTCACATACTGCCTGTATCCCACGGATGGGGCTTCGCTTGTTTGCATGGCCTGGTTACTGGCTGGTCCACGGACCAGGGATTATGGACCCTGGTCTATGCTGAAAGGAAAGGAGAATGCACAAAGCATCCTTTTTGCCTCTAAGTCGGGTTTCTCAACTTTGGCAGCTTTAGGATCCGTGAACTTCAACTCCCAGTATTCCCTAGCCAGTGTACTCTAATCAGGGAATTCTGGGAGTAGAAGTCCATGCACTTTAAAGTCGCCAAGGTTGAGAAACATTGCACCAATCAAAGCAATTCCATATC